CACATCAATGACTCAGCATACCTATCTTGCACTCTTCGAACTATTCGGTGGCGTAATTAATCGACTTGCATTAACTGCGTCACATCAATACTGTGCTCATACGCCTCAACCCGGCGTATGCGCGTACCCAAAGGTTAACTTACTGGTGACGATGTTTGGTTGGACTTAACCATAGCCCATATGTCACAGCAGGCCCCGGCCGCTCAGAAGAACGAGCCCAGGGACCCGGCCGAGCCCACACTTGAGGACCTTCAGGAGCTCTGGGACGCCCACTATGGACGCGTCACAGGATACGGCGCCTGCGTGATGTTAGCGCGCGCCGCAACCCGAACGGGCAAGCAACAGCCAGTCAGTAGGCCAGCCGCCTCACGTCAGGCCGCGCCTAAGCTGCACAGTGGCCTCACACGACAGGCCCCTAAGAACGAACGACGTCGCGGCCGTCTCGCCGACATGCCGCTGGGCTTTCTGCCCAAGGACTTCATTCGGACTTCCAGTTCGACTAGACCTGAGCCTGCCGAGCCAGCCGAAGCTGAGCAGCGCACAGCGCCAGATTCCGCCCAAACAGCCGCGCCGGAAGTTACCGCGCTGGCAAAGGGAGAGCAGAAAGAAACTGCACCAGAAGACGCTGCTAAGAGCGCAGCCCAGGGGACTACCAGAACACGGAGACCGCAATAACTATTGGAGAGTATTCTATGCTCGTTATTCAATACTCGTTATTCATAGAATTCTCTTCTGCCTCAGGGCTTTCAAAAGCTGCCGTCGGACGATCCACGCCGACAGGGAGTCATTTATGGGCCGACTGCTCCAGTGGACATTGCGCCCGCACTGCAGGAGGCCGACCAGGCACCAGCTGCCTTAGGTCCGCCCCCAGAGCCGGCTGCAAACAACATTTACGACCCAGAGAACCCCCCAATTGAAGCGCTCCTAGGGAAGCTGCCAGGGGCGTACCACAGTGACCCGACCGCGGGGTTCCACCGGTCACCGCGCATTGATAACCCCGGCTCGCAGCCTGCCCTCTTGGTGAACGGGCGCTTGGTGCCGAACCTGGTTTTGAGGCCGTCATCACTGGCCCCTCAAGTGCCAAGGCAATGGGGATTACCCCTGACATGATTCGCCGCAGAGCGATTGTGATCCACGGTGCAACAGGACAGCTGTCCGACCGCTTGGATCGAACACTTGAGCCGGTCAGCTTCGAGCTGAACCCAGGCACCCCTGACGTAGTCACTGTTATGGCACACGTGGTGATCGCATCCCACGATCTGCCTGACACACTGATCGGGATGAGTGTAATGGGACCGGCCAGCATCATTCCGAACCCGCGCAAGCGGCGGGTGAAGTATTATGTGGACGCGAACACAGACAGCGAGCGCAGCGCCTACCTTCGGTGTGAATTCCCGATCGAGTACGGCCGCTCCCCGCTGCATGCTTACACAGCAGTGCTTCGCGGCTACGTTGGGGCGGTTATGCCCTTGCACATCAAAACACCGATTTCGCGTCTGAAAGCTGAGACAGCTCGACGCCGACTTGATCAGTACGACACAGAACTAATGACAGTCACGACAGATAGCTTCGACCGCAGTGGGCGCGCGCGTTGGCTATGCCGGCTGGCCCGCTGCGGCCTATCATAAATCCCGCTTTCCAGCACATCCGACCCCCGGACCAGAGCCTGATCGACAAACGGGCCGTCCTGGACGTCGCTGGACCAGGACTGGTAGTCATTGAGCTATTCAGCGGCCTGATGGCCACCACAAAGGCGCTGGTGCGCAGTGGCCTGAAGGTTCGGAAGGTCTACGCCTGCGAGCTGGACAAGAAGGCACATAAGGTGGCCGAATTCCGGCTGGGGAAACTTCAAGAGATGTACCCCGGCCTGCTGAGCACCGAGGCGTTCTCAAACGTCCACGGCGCGCTCCTTGACAACATTCAGGATGTGACACGAGGCCATATCGAAGGTCTGGAGAAGCCCGACTTGATCGTGGCAGGGTTTCCGTGTCAGGGATTTTCGAGAGCGGCCAGCGAGGCCAAAGGGTTGCGCGACCCGCGCACCAAGCTGTTTACGGAGGCCATTCGGGTAGTGCACAATGTGATCAGTGTCCACGCGCCCTTGCGCCTACCTGTTTGAAAACGTCGACGCCAGCGATCACCCGCAGGCGGACGTTCGCGACGAGTTTAATGACGTCGTCAAGGGGGTCCTTAGACCAGGCTTTGCGTTTGACGCAGTTGCCGCGGGCTCGCTTGCCCACCACAACCACGGTCGCTGGGGGACCAACCTAGTTCCAAGCCCGCTCATTACTGAGATGGTTGAGAAGCGCTTCAAGCAGCGCCCCGATTTTCGCCGAGTTCAGGACATTCTGCAACCTGGCATTGGCGCGCTCTGGTGCGCCGGGTCGACACCGCGTGAATGAGACAAGACAGCCACTTTGGGCTCTTTGCACTTTCGTCTCTCTGCGCGGGTCCCACGCTTACCGCGTCGGGGGACACAGCATGATTTTAGCCGCCAATGGCGAGCAAGAAGAGCCAACCGCCCTAGAGCGCGAGCGCACTATGGGTTTTCTGGAGAAGAGAACTCAGACTGGGCCACCAATCACTAAGTCGGACCGCCGGCGCTTGCTGGGAAGCACGATGGACATGCATGCCCGACCTTCCTGGTCGGGCCTGATGGCACCTGATGCTTCAGGAGAGCCCAACTTGGTGGCGCCGCATCATGCGACAGTATTTGTGCGCGCCGGTCTTCTCCAGCAGCGGAAGTTTCGGAGAGTTGTACTCCCGCCTTAGACACATCCGCCTGGCACCGCGTCGAGTCGACCGCCGGCAGCGGCTTGGGGGGGGAGAGGCCAGATTGGCACACCGCATAAAGCTCCTGGCAAGAAGCAGCCAGAGGGGGATCCCCCGGACCTCCCGGACTTACTGCCGTCCGAGATAGAGTTCGAGAAGCTCGATTGGGGCTTGTGGGGGCGAGGCGACCTTACGCTTGAGCAGAAGCAAGCTCTTGAGGACTTGATGGACGAGTTTCGTGACGTGCAAGCAGCCGATATGTCCGAAATGTCCACAATCATTGGGGAGAAGTTCAAGATTCCGGTTACGGATGATACCCCGATTTTCAAACACCAGTACCGGCTTGCTTACGCCGTGAACGACATTCTAAAGGACCAGATCGAAGAGCGCCTGAAGTGCGGCTTTATTCGCTGGTCAGTGTCCCTATGGGCCTCGCCTCCAACCATGCCGCCGAAGACTCGAAGATGAGCACGGGAATTGGACGTTGAAGCGACCATGCGGTGACTATCGAGGACTGAACAAGGTCAGCATCCCTGACCACTACCAGCTGCCGACTCCAGAGGAGATATCCGACGAGCTGGCGGGTTCGACGTGGTTTACCACGCTCGACCTGCGCTGGGGTTACCACCAGGTGGCCATTGCAGAAGAGGACATCTGCAAAACAACGTTTTGGGGCCACGACGGCCTGTATGAGTGGGTTGTAATGCCCTTCGGGCTGAAAAACGCCTCTGCCTTTTTTCAGAGGCTGATGGACACCACAGTAAGTGCGCAGCGCGAGTTTTGCCGCTGTTACATTGACGACGTGATCATTCACAGCAAGTTGTTCGACGAGCACCTGATACATCTGCGCGCCGGTTTTTAGCGGCTGCGCGCGAAACGGATTAAGTGCCCCCCGAAGAAGATGCGGCTGGCCGTTCGCACAGTGCCCTACCTGGGCCACTTTATCGTTCCTGGCGGAACAGCGCCGCAGGACGTGAAGGTGGAAGCCATTGTACGGATGGTTCCGCCTCGGGACATCTCGGAGTTGCGGGCCTTCCTAGGCACCTGCGGTTACTACCGAAGATACGTCCCGAACTATGCGCGCATCGCCGCACCCCTGAACTGCCTGCTTCAGAACGGCGTTGTCTGGAACTGGGTTGCTGACGAGCAGAAAGCTTTCGAGCTGCTTAAGCTCAAGCTGACTGAAGCGCCCGTCTTGCGGCACCCCGACTTCACCAGACCCTTTGAGCTGTACACCGACTGGAGTGCCACTGGGCAGGGCGCTGTTCTCGCACAGCGTGACGAGGAAGGGAAAGAGTGCGTGGTCGCATACGCGTCACAAAGCACTGGCAACAATCGAACGGAGCGAAACTACTCCAGCTACCATGGAGAGTGCTTAGCCGCCGTCCGGGGAGTTTGCTACTTCCGCGTGTACCTCTACGCGAGGCAGTTCACGCTGATCACAGACCACGAGCCGTTGCAGTGGCTGATGACGAACACGAAGTTGACGGGCATGCACGCCCGCTGGGCGAACATCCTGCAGGAGTACGATCTGACGATTGTACACCGCAGTGGAGTCAAGAACCTGGATGCATATGGGCTCCCAGAGGAACCCGCTCCCAGAGAATGATGACTGGACCGATGCCCGCATGGACCACGTCGGTCTGAACCTGCTCGCCGTTTCAGCCTGCCTTGCCATCCTGGCCGGCACCCTGAGCGAGCCGGAGGACCCAGAGTTGACGCGCCTACTAAGCCCTGACGGCATTCAGGCACCAGAGAGAAGCCTGGCGGACGCGCCAGAAGAAATTCCTGCCGACGCGCATGCAAAAAGCCCTGCACAGCTGCAGGCAGAAAGCCCTGCAGACGCGCAAGCACTTGCGATCGTGGCGCCCCTGCGTGAGGCCGCCGATGACGATGTTGACTTGCCGGTCCGATTTGACCGCGAGATTTGGGAGGACGCCCCCGTAATGGCGTACCTGGAGGCTGGCGTGTACGCAAACGGCGTGACACCGAAGCAGAAGGATCGCATCTGGCACCGAGCCCAGAGCTATCAGTTGAAGGACGGCGTCTTAAGGACGCCTCGTTGACGGCGCGACAAACATTGTCCCCCGTCCAGAGATGCGCGCGAGCCTGATTCGCCGCGTGCACCAGGATGTCGGCCACTACGGCGTCCTGAAGACGTACTTGCTGCTGAGCCCCACTTACTGGTGGGTCGGAATGTATGGTCAGGTCCAGCACGAGGTAGCTGGCTACACCGTCTGCGATCGGGTCAAGGCGACGTTCGACGTCAAGGACCCTGAGCTCAAGCCCCTGCCAATCATGGGCATGTTCTATCGATGGGGCGCGGACCTGTGCAAGATGCCACAGAAGTCCGACGACGGCAACCGCTACGTCGTCGTGATGGTCGAGCACTTTACGAAATGGATTGAGCTCCGTGCGATTCCGGCCAAGGAGGCCAAGCACGTCGCAGCCGCCTTTCGGGATGTTCTGATCCCGATTTGGAGCGCCCGCGGAGGTCGTGACCGACCAGGGCCGAAAGTTTGAGGGCGAGTTCGATGAGGTCATGATTGCCCTGTATAGCGACCACATCTGGTCCTCGCGGAATCACCCGCAGACCGATGGTCTGGCCGAGCGCATAGTACAAGTCGTCAAGGAGGCGGTGCGCAAGTACGGCCTGCTGTTCAACAAGCGGCACTGGGACCGGTTTCTCCAATGGATTGCCATGGGGTACCGAATGAGCCGACAGGCGTCCCTGGGGGGCTATTCACCCTACTACCTGCTTTTCGGCCGACACCCAATCGTCGGGAGCAAGGTACGCGACATTCTCCAGGAGCCAGTGGATCTGGACGATTCCATCCTGTGCGCGGAGTTCTTACACGACCGCGCTGAGCTGGTCAAAGAAATCGGACTCATGGCGTTCGTTGAATCGCGCCATCGCTCAGCACCGGGACATCCTGCGCTACGCGCACGAGACTTCAAACCGAAACTGCGTCGGTACGAAGTGGGCGATCTGGTTTACCTACGCCGCCAGCCCGCTGACTCCCTGGACCCCAAAGTCGGCCGCCTGATTTTGCGCGTCAAGGAACTGAAGGGAACGGGCCGAGTCCTTTTGGAAGGCCGTGACCAGAAGACGATTACTGAGCACGTCGAGAACTGCGCTCCGTGCCACAACCCGAGCATTGACCTCTGGCAGAACCCTGTGTTCACCGAAGCAGACCGGGACCAGGCATGCCAAGTCTGCCACAAGACTACGGGCGCACCAAAGATGCTGCTGTGCGACAACTGCGATGAGGGATGGCACATGCATTGCCTGACCCCGCCAGTCAAGCGCATGCCCAAGGGCAACTGCTTCTGCCCGAGGTGCCCTGTCAACGACGACGACAACTAGACGACTAGTACGACTACCTTATTTGGGCTACTTCCGGGACTTCAAGAGGCTACGTCGGGACGACTTCGCCAATTAAGGTGGGGGGGAGTACCATGGATTACTACGTTTTCTGCATGACTACGACTACATCAGCATGTCAGGATTGATCATTGCGCGGATTAGCCGCGGTAGTTTTTCATTTCGAGCACATTAGGTTGCGCATGGTCATGGAACTCGAGACGTTATCGACACGACACGCAGCATCACGACACTAAGTCATGTAACATTCCTATGTAATTAAGGATTTGATGGAGCTGGTTTGCTGGTTATTGCATGCTCCGCAACTAAAGAAGTAACCATTGACCCGAGCCGTGTCAGTTATGAGGCGAAATCAACCCTCCGAAACTTGCGGCAGAGTGAAGCAAGCAATTGATCAGTAAGCTGTTTGTTCTGCATTGCCTCATTGATACAATTCCACATACATAGGACAGCCCTGCAAATTTTGGCACGAAAGCGCCACCCGGCGTGACACCGTGAGAGTCTGTTATGAATCACGATTGCAAGATGTGCCCTGCTAGCTTCTCTTGACCATCAACAGGTTCCTACCACACTGAGAGCGCGCTTTTCTTGAGTCTCTGGACGAATTATCGAGCCGTATGTGAAGCAGTGTTAGTGACAAGATCGACAAAACTGGGTTGAACAAAGCTATTTCTATTTCGATTGGGAGACAAGAGATGGAGCCCCATACATCCAAAGAGGGTTGTACTATTCTCAAACAAACAGGGAGCTAGTATACATGATCAATGTCCACGGTGTTTGGTCTAATCAGGCTCCGCTGCAAAAAGAAGAATGCTTGATAGTCTAGTCAGGAAAGAAAGGTCATAGGGGCAACCAGATGCCCAGCCTGCAGAGACGAATATATACGCACTTCATTAAACTGCGGATGGTCAACATTCCCAACCTGTACCCACGTGATGATATACGATGCGCTATGAAAGAGCGGATTCGAATCACTCGATAACTATGACCGATAAGCGTAACATATATTGTAACGGTACGGAAGCCGACC